AGGACACACAGAGAGAAGACCACAAGACAGGGGTCACAGATTGGAGTGATGCATCTACAGAGCAAGGAGTGCATGGGGCGATTCTTCCCTGGAAACTTCAGGGGGAGCATGACTAGAGGACACACAGAGAGAAGACCACAAGACAGGGGTCACAGATTGGAGTGATGCATCTACAGACCAAGGAGTGCATGGGGCGATTCTTCCCTGGAAACTTCAGGGGGAGCATGACTGTGATAAGGCCCTTATTTGGGGCTTTTAGCCTCCAGAACTGGAACAGAATAAATTTCTTCTGTTTTAAGCAACTAAGTTTGTGGTATTTTATTATGGCAGCCCTAGGAAACGAATACATCTTTTCGGTAACTTTTGAATTTAAACTGTGTGCATGTAGCATACTGCCTAAGCCTTAGTGAACCCAAGGAAGTAAACCTTTCTCCCAGGACTAAAGCCGGGCGACAGACAACAGACCAGAAAGTGCCCCTCTCTCTGAGCATGAACCTCTCAGGAGGATGTACATGGACAAAGTGTCCTCCCAACTCGGGTAGGAGACACAGAATAACCACAGAGAGGTACCCAAGCAGGTGAGTCACATCTCACAGACACCACCAGGCAGGCTCTAATCTGCTTCTTTTGCTGCTTTTTTTCTTGGCTCACTGCAGTAGGTTCTAAACTAATAATTCACTCCCTAGTTCCTAAAAGACCTCCCTTTGGCTCTGTTTATGAAATGTTCATGAAAGATGCCGATGCAATACCAACAATGGTAGAGATACCAAATCAGATTCTACTTGGACGAAGACCAAATAGGAGCATTTCCAATGTACTGTCCTGAGATTTCAATGAATTGCCTTATGTTACTCATAGGTGAACGTAAAGCCGGGGTTCCTACTGTTTCTGTGGGGCTCTGCCAAGGCCCTCTATGTCCCCCTGGCCCATCTGGAATGCACTGCTGGCACACGAAGGGTTAGTAACCAGCTACAGCTGGCCGGCACAGACCATCATCTCAGCTCTCCCAGGGAGGTGAATATGCTCGAGGACAGAAAACAGCAGGATGGAGGAGATTAAATCAGTTCGCAGGTGACTCAAACCCACAACTCATTAGCTTATCTTTCCAGAGAGCACAGCTGATGTGTAACCCCAAAGCCATGAGAGAGCTATACTATAGACTAAGGGGCGGTCTATGGTGTTTCTTTTCCTCCAGAGTCTAACAGCATTCCAAGGTTCCTGGTGACCAGCTACTGTGTTCAAAAGAGGTGGCCCCAGGTAATAAGCAATGGAACCCATCATGTCAAGGTGGCAAGATGGTCAGACACCAGGCATTTAGTTCCCTCAAGAGGTCCTCTTCCCCATCCACTCTCCCTTTGCTTTCTTCTCTTCTAACCCCTTACAATTTTACCTGGCCCCTTTCAGTGCCCTGTCTGCATCAATAACTCAGAACAAGTTTTCCATATGAAACTAATTTCTTCTTTTCCCCAAAACATCCTTCCCCTTAACATGCTTCTCTACTAATTTAGTTCCTTGCATCTGTCCCCTTGTAGAACAGACCAACCTTTCTTCCTATTCAGACTTTATCCCTCTCTCTCTTTCCAAGTATAAACCACAAGAAAGAGGCTTGCCTCTGCCCCTTCCCACTACATTCCCCTCCCATGGCTATTACCTTAACCACTGATTCCTGGTCTGTGTGTGATGAATGCAGTTTTCTCTCTTCCCTAGTTCTGTGAACCAAACACAACTACTAATCTACCAACTGCAATCTCAACGAGGGTAAGAGTCCTTCATTCCAGACTATGGCGAATGGTCAACCCTAAGCAATGGAAGGGAATTATTTTCTTAACTCTTAGAATTATATTATTTCAAGTCTCCTAATGTTCAACTTATACCTCAGAAAAAGACTCTGAAGTAAATATTTTAATGAATATTAAATAGTAAAAATGGTGGTTATGAAATGCTATCAATGACATGGAAAAATGCTCACAAAAGAATGAATGGGGAAAAAATCACATAAAACAGTGAGATAGATACTGACTTTAGAGAGAAACACAGAGAAAATATGAAGACATGAGGCAAAGTGCAAATAAATACACCAAATTATCAACACTAGATATTTGTAGGTAGTGAGATTATGGATAACTTTTCTTTTCAAAATTATACTCTCCTGTTGTCCAAATGTTTTATAATTAGCACAATCAACTTATACAATCGAGGAAGGACAGATGGACAGACTGACAGATGGGAGGAAGGTTGACCCAGTCTGGCTCATTTGGTTGAACAGGAGACAGATGCAGGGCTACAGGTTTCAGGCCCATGTTGGGAGCACTCAGTGTGGCAGGAGGGAAACAGGTGGCCACTCAGTCTGCCCTTACTAGCTGTGTAGCAATTCTTTCCAGACTTTAGTTCCCTCATTCATAAAATTCACTCTGGGTATTGTGAAGACTGAACGTAAGTCTCCTCCCACTCCATCTGGGGGCCTCAGTGTGGTGATCTGTAAAATGGATGGGAGTTGGGGGAGAAGGGCGTTCAGCTGCCATACTATACAATTTTAGTTTTGGGCAAAGACGAGCAGCAGTTTCTAGGCAAGGCAAAAACAAACAAACAAAAACATAAATAAA